TATCGATCGATGCAACGAAACAAAAAACAAGTTGAGAGGCTTCTTTTTATTACGTCAATAGTGACATTTAAAACAACAAGCGAGCATTAACATATCTAAAAGTTAAACAAGCTGTATTCCCAACTTTAGATAATTAAAGATTACGGGTTGATCGCATGATTATACGTAATCTTTTCCTCTATAAATCACTAAGCTTGAAAATTTATTCTAGAAAATAAATTAATTCTCTGAAAAGATCTGCTTTAATTATAATTTCCTTTATGCTTAGTAGAAAAATCAACAAAATGAGTAATAAATCTTTTAAAAATTGAACAATTTCAACTAATTAACAATAAAAGCAATGTTACTAATCATGATTATCCAAAATATAAAATAAAAACTAATTCAATCAAAAAAAAATTATTAAGTTTGAACAATAAGTTCCACGATGGTTATTAAAATCCATTCACATTTATTTTTATGTTTAAAACATTTGCACACAATGTAATATACAATTTGGTTCGCAGCGAGTAGAGTTGATGTTAAAATTATGGAAATTGTAGTAATAATTTCACTTTATAAAATCTACTTTTTATAATATTTAATTGAAATGAGAAGTAAGAAGAGACGTGAGTAAACTGTAAAGTGCACTGAGTTGAAGAAGTTTGGGCGTTTTTGTGGTTATTGAGGCGCATAGAATTCATTAGCATTTTAAATAAATTCTTTACACTTTGAAACTTTCGAAGGGTTTAAAGATTTTTAATTTTAATGGATTAAGAAGTTTTGAAATTTTAATGGTTCTGAAAATTTCAAATATTTAACCAGTTTGAAGATTTTGAATTTTTTACGGGTTTGAAAAATTTGAATTTTAAAGGTTTTGAAATTTTTAAATTTCTAATGGCTTTGAAATTTTAAATTTTTAACGGTTTATAAAATTTTGAATTTTTACCGGTTTTTAAAATTTTGCATTAAATACAATTTGAAAAGTTTGAATTTTTTACAATTTTAAAATTTTGAATTTTTTCAATTTTAAAATTTTGAATTTTTTACAATTTTGAAAGTTTGAATTTTTTACAATTTCAAAAGTTTTAAAAACTTAATTAAAACTTTACAAAATTGAAAATATGCAACTTAAATCAAAAATCTCAAGTGTCTTTCACATCCTTGACTAACTCATCATAGCTTAAACATTTACCATTAACAAATTTCACACGAATCCGCACGTCATTGAAAAGACCAGAGAGAGTAAAAGTTTTAAGATTCAGCAAAGTCAAACACGTCACAATTTACAAAGATTTTACATACTCAACTGTCCACTTTACGATTCAAACGCTAAAGTGAATAATCAAGCACATCATGTGAATGGGAAATGCGCTAAAGAGTGCTTAAAATAAATTCTTTAAATACAATAACAATAAAAATAAGCAAACAATAAGCAGAGAAAAAATGAAGACGACTCAAAATGCGGAAATATAAATTTAGTGAAGAAAATTTGCTGTCGTATTTTTTTTGCAATCTTAAAAAAAAGTTGCAGGCGTTGTACAGATTACTATGGGGAATGAAAAATGTACAAATAAGTGGACTAAAAGTCTCAAAATGAGAAACAAAAGTAACTTGTTCGAGTCGTTAGGTCTGCTTGTGCACCAGTTTTTTATATTCATTCAAAATTGTCGCTCATGATGTGTATTAATATGGATGTATGGGCGGAATTCTAAGTGACTTAAAAATAGCACATGACGGAATGAATAACAAAACTATTGAAGCAAGTGATATGGAGCATATAATGTTTGTAAAAAAGATATTTCATTGAGCATCGAGTGCCTTAAAATGAGACACTTAAGTTGCTTTTACTTCCATTCATTGGAAGAAGTCAACACACATCCATATCAGTATTTATGCAATCTTAATTGCGTTTCCATTTCCAACTCTCTATTAAGATAGTGAAATAAGAAGTGCCATTGACGAATATAGAGATATATTCTTATTTGTCAACGTGAATTGGAAGTGATTAAAAAGAAGAATTACAATAGCTTCGGCGTGCACAGTCATATTTGTGAGCATTTGCATAACAGGTTCAGCATGTCAAATTGCTGTCAGATAATAAAAAAATGATTGGCTAACAACAACATTCGATTGAATGAAAAAGAAAAGAAAAAAAAACACGAAATATAAAATAAAATTTGTAAATGAGCTTTTATCATTTTGGATATAATAAAAAATTGTATAAAGCTTCAAAAACTTCCAAACAAGATTTTTAGTGTATTTTCCACTTGTTAATGTCGAATATAAATCATTACAGCTAATTGACTTGCTTGCTTCGTAGACTGAATGGCTGGTGAATCTCAATTAGTTCTCAGGAATCTTTAATTTCTTGAAATATGGAAGCACATTTAACTATACAATTTAAGTTGAATTTTTCAAAATCATTCAAATTTTAATTCTACAAAACCGTTAAAACTTTAATTTTACATACAGCTAGAATTTGAATTCTACAAAGTCGTTAAATACAAATTCTATAGAACCGTTAAAACTTGAATTTTAAAAACCGTTAGAATTTGAAATCTACAAAACTGTTAAATTTGTAATTTACAAAATCGTTAGAATTTGAATTCTACAAAACTGATAAAATTTGAATTATGCAAACCGATAAAATATGGATTTTACAAAAACCGTTAGAATTCAAATTCTACAAAGCTGTTAAAATACAAAATTTACACGAAACCGCTATAACTTGAATTTTAAAAATCTTTTAAAACTCAACTTTTACTAATCGATTTAAATTACAATTTTAAACAGCATTAAAGATTTCAATTTTAAAGTCATCGAAAACTTTTTAAAACAATCGAAAATCCTGTCTAGTGAAAGTGCACCACAATCATCCACTCAACATTTTCAGCACATACATCATAATACTAGTTTTATAAAAATTTAAAATTTTAAACATATTGACTGAATATTAATGTTTCTGTTTGTTGTTATTGTGCACTTGTTTAATTGACCATTTTGTAAGCTCACGTATATCGCCATATTAGCAGATTTTATGGAACAGTAAAAAACCATTTATGCAAATTACTTTATGTTTATTTTAGTTGAGGAAATATTATCGTCAGCTTAAAAGATTTAAGTAATTGTTACAGCACAACCGTTACTTTTTAGAACGTCATTTTCATCTGTCAAATGCATTTTCAAGTTACACACTCGAGTCCACTCAAAGACCATCATCTCTTCTTCTTCTGGTTAAGTGACTAGAAACTTATTGCAAATACCAATATAAATTATAAGAAAAACGATACTAGATACTAGTATATGAATGTCCGGTGTAATGAAAGAATTCTACATGCATATTCTGCTGCACATTATACACTCATATATGGCTTCGGCAATGTATATAGATCTCGGCAATTGTGTGATAAAAACTCGTTTTCTTTCATTTTTTTCTGCAACATAAAAAAAATATATAAAACGGCAAGCTCATAAAATGAATTTCATTACGGATGATCATGAAACAGACAATTAAGCAAAAGTCTTATTTTTCTTGTGCCTGTTTTTATTCATGTTAACAGAGTTGACTCTGGTTTGAGAGTGAAGGGCTCGCTTTTAATTGTGGTCAATGTTAAAGATGATGTGATTTAAATTGAAGTAGACATGTCGGGTTTCTTATTGAATCAGACTCGAGTGTTGCTTGATTTTGTTGAATAATTTGAGTATGATGAATGCTTTGATTCAATGAACTGAATAGTGTGGAATGGATTGTGTTTGGCTGAATATTACTGAAACATGCTGAATTGTGCTGAACTGGCTGTATAAGTTGAATGTACTTAATAAGCTGAATCAGTTGAATTTTCCGAGTTGAGCTGAAATGAACTTTACCAATTAAATTGAAATCTACAATGCTGATTAAGCTGAATTGAGCTGAATTTGCTGAATTCAGTTGAAGTGGCTGAATTAACTGAATTAGCTTATTTAAGCTAAGCTTTACTGAATAAGCTGAATCGTGCTGAATTGGCTGAATTGCACACAATTAAGCTGCAATTAGCTGAGTTTGACTGCATTATGCCAAGAAGCTAGATAAGCCAGATTTAACTTAACTTTGCTGAGTACGCTGAGCTTTGATGAACAAACTGAATCAGCTGAATGAACTGAGTTTGGCTCAATAAGCAACGTTGTGCTAAAATGTTTGAGTTTGCTTAATTACACTGACTAACCTAAGCTTTAAAGAAATGAGCTTATGCATTATATTTATGCCAACTACTTCAATCACCTAAATACTACCGACTTAACAATATATCCACTAATAAAAATTTCCCCAACTTATTCAACACTTAATTTATTGAATCTTCAGCTATTGCATTCATTCCTACTAAAAGCTGATTTCTTACGAAAGAAGATGTTGAAATAAACCATACTATGACTGCCTTTTCATAAGCATCATATTAAATCGGAACTACTCTCTCTTCGACTCTTGTTTGAAAAATTAACCCGGATGATTCGGTACAAAAAACTAAACAGCTGGATGCTTTGATACCTCATTTCATTCATAAACATGCTTGAAATTATTTAACACACATTTGAAGCGATACATCATGCTTTGCCTCGTGACATTAGTGGCATATATCGCAGAAAATTCTGATTTTAACAAGATTACTATTATAATCCATGGAATATAGGTTAGAGAAATCAGCATACACAGTCTGAACTTTGTCTCAAAAATCTTAATATTCATCACTGTGTGGCATAAAAATAAAGTCTGTGATCAGAATTAAGTTTAGATTGAAATAAGCTTGGGGGTCCTCGTTTTGAATAATAGCTTTGATTTTGAAAATTTCCGTTACAGAAAATATCAGACTTAACCTAATTTAATGAAACTGAAGACCCGAAAGCATTTTATTCATCCATAAATGCACAAACTCTAATTGAAATAGATTATCATGTATCTGTGAATATCTTGTTACATGTGCTGCTTTTCATCCCAACAAAATATAGCATTACTTATTATTTTTTTCTCTCATTTCCAATTCCAGATACAGTCAAATCCATCAACAAGCAACAGCGATATTGCACAGATAAATCTATAAATAGGCACAAATTAATGATATATTTATGAGGAACTCGCAGAGGAAATAGAGAAAGGGTGACAAAACAGCAATAACATAAGTTATATTTTTGGAAGTAATTCATCTCGTGCCGGAAGGAGTTCTAATTCGAGACATAAAACAGAAATCGTTGCATATATTGAGTTATAAGGACAGTGTATGTATAAGAACTGAGAAGATACAAGATCATAAAAATGGAAAAATCTGCAACAACATTAATACTGACATTTGTCGCACTCATGTTATGTCTCACATCGAGAGAATGCCATGCATGGACTTTTTCAGTCACTCCAAATCGGGTCATAAATTATGGTAATTTGAGACTTTTTGCCTTGTTTCGTTTTATATTGTGACAATTTTTTAACCATTTCCATATCTATTCAATCCATCCGTCCGATAATGTAGAATCGAATAGCCCAACATTTCATAGCAATGGAAGTTACTTCAAACTTTTATATATGGATGATAAATCTGTTTTGATAGGAGCAAGGTAAGATGATCTATCATCATATTTGAGTATATCCATTATCTAATTTCCATTTCCCACACACGAATCCAATAGAAATAACGTGTACAATTTGACTATAACAAGATTAGCAGAAAATGTTAAAAATCGCATTGAATGGCCATCGTCGGAAGCCCATAAAGAGATGTGTATGTTGAAGGGAAAGAACGTAAGCGATTGTCAGAACTATATTAGAGTCTATGCACATGTTTCGGATGAGCAAATTGTGCTATGCGGCACAAATAGCTTTAAGCCTGCCTGCCGCTACTACAAAGTCAATCCAATTAGTGGAAGTGATTCTGCCGTGCATGAAAAGATTAAGGAATTCGAAGGCGAAGGTGAGTGTGAAATATTTCCAATTTTATTCTTTACGTGATGATGCCTTGAAATAATTGAGACTCCAATAAGTCTATTATGAATATACTGTAATCCCAAAAATAACACTAAACAGTTTTGTTCATGGCTCCACTCATGATCGACGAAAACGCATTTTCAGAACACGAAAACTTATTTAAAAAACGTTACAAAAATATTCAAAAATTAACGGTGAAAATATATTGTCAAAATGAACAGACAGACAGAATACATACTCGTTGAATTCAGGAAAATGCGCTAACAAAATTATGTCTTTATTTCATTTATCTATTATTGAAATTCTTTTTGTTTACATTGCAATGACTTTTATCCAATTCATGTTTTTCTTTCTCTTCCATTCCATTCACAGCTATAAGTCCATATTCACCAAATCAAAACAATACGTATATTTATACAAGTGATATGAATGAGCTGTATACAGCTACAACTGCTGGTTTTGCCGGTTCACAACAGCTGATTTATCGACAGCCCCTGCTTAATGCAACATCTGACACATTTACAGGAATTGCGCCACAAACCCTCCGAACAGATTCACGCTTTGACTACGTACTCAATAAAGCTTCATTTGTTAATGCTGCCGAGTATAATGGCTACATTTTATTCTTTTTCCGTGAACAAGCGATCGAGAATCAAAATTGTGGTGGCAAGTCGGTGTACTCACGTGTCGCAAGAGTATGCAAAAATGACAAGGGCGGTGCTCATTCATTCAATGATCGATTTTCTTCATTCATTAAAACTCGTCTGAATTGTTCAATGCCCGGCGATTATCCATTTTATTTCGACGAGATTCAAGCTACGAGTGATGTTGTTGATGGAATTTACGGCAATGATCGCGATGCGTTGGTGTATACAGTCATGACAACAAACGACAATGCAATTGATGGCTCAGCAATTTGTGTCTATTCAATGAACTCAATTTTGGCAGCATTTGAAGGTAGATTTAAGGGTCAACGTGACATGAGCTCTGTATGGCGATCAGTTGATGACTCAGATGTTCCAACTCAACGACCAGGCAAATGTGTTGATGACTCACGAACATTACCTATGTCAACAGTCAATTTCATTCTTAAACATCCATTAATGGACGGTGCAATTAATCCAATTCATGAATCACCGTTATTAGTACATACTGGATCAAATTATAAATTTACTACAATTGCTGTAGATCCACAGATTGAGACTGCATCGGGAAAAATCTATGATGTTGTCTTTGTTGGAACTGATAATGGACAAATCTTAAAAATGATAAATACTGGCGATGCAATCGATGAAAATAGGCCAATTGTGGTTAGTGAGCAGCAAGTCTTACCACTTGGCACAAGAATCAAGGAAATAAAAATCTCACAAGCTACACAAACTTTAATTGTCGTATCGGATGAATTTGTAAAGACAATTCCATTGCATAGATGTGCAGAACTTAATCAATGCTCTCAATGCATTGGCAGTCGTGATCCATATTGTGTATGGGACAATATCAACCGCGAATGTATATTCTACAATAAGACCGTGATGAATAAAAATACGCAATTGTATATGGAAAGTATTGATGGTAAAAATGATAATGTTTGTGGAGAACAAATCGTACCAAGCATTATACAGCAGCAACAGCAAAATCAAAAGAGCATGACGATGAATAATAACATTAATAGCAACATAAATATCAACAGTAATGCTATCAACAATAATAATCCACAAACTCATGGAACAATAATGGGAAAGGGTCAATCACCGACTGATAGTGAAAACAAAGAAGAAGAGGAGATTAGAAAGCACAAATATCATCATATACCAGTCGTTCAAGGTACATTTATTGACTTATTGAAATATTTGTTGCTCATGTTCTTTAGAATATTTCATTGAACCCCCCAAAAAAATACAGACTGAATATTATGTAAACAAAACTAATTGCTTCTTAATTGCATTTATCACATAATTAGTACCTTTTTGTTAATTATACCTTTCCTATCCTTCTTTCTGTAAAGAATGTTTTAATTATTTCTGGTCAGTGCCATCTAACAATTATCGATGGTTTTGTTCTTTTTGGATATGATAGATGGAACTATTTTTTGCACATAAAAGCTTGGATTTTGACAATTTGTTCAAAAAAGTTCCAAAAATCTACAAAAGTTCTAAAAGGTTCAAAATTTCTACAAAAAGGAACAAAATTTATACAAAAAGTTGAAAAAGTTCAAAGTTCCTACAAAAAAGTTTTAAAAGGTTCAAAATTTCTACAAAAAAGTTCAAAAAGGTTCAAAATTTTTACAAAAAGGTACAAAATTTATACAAAAAGTCGAAAAATTTCAAAGTTCCTACAAAAAAGTTTAAAAAGGTTCAAAATTTCTACAAAAAAGTTCAAAAAGGTTCAAAATTTCTACAAAAAAGTTCAAAAAGGTTCGAAATTTCTACAAAAAAGTTTAAAATGTCTACAAAAAAGTTCAAAAAGGTTCAAATTAATAAAAAGTTCAAAAAGGTTTAAATTTTTTACAAATAAGTTCAAAAAGGTATAAAACTTCTCCAAAAAGTTCAAAAAGGTTCAAAATTTCTACAAAAAAGTTCAAAAAGGTCCAAATACTCTACAAAAAAGTTGAAAAAGGTTCAAAATTTCTACAAAAAATTCAAAAGGTTCAAAATTTCTACAAAAAAGTTCAAAAAGGTTCAAAATTTCTACAAAAAGTTCAAAAGTTCAAAAAGGTTCAAACTTTCAACTAATAAGTTCAAAATGTTTTGAATAATTTCAAAAAGGTTCAAACAAGTTCAAAAAGGTTCACAAAACTACAAAAACATTAAAAAATGGTAAAATCTACAAAATTTTAAATTTTTCTTCTTTTTCTTTTCAAATCCTTTCAGCTCCTGCTCATCAAGGCACGGAATTCTATGAGCCACAAATTCAAACGTCAAGTGCATCAATAATCGTCCTTTTCATTATTGCAGCCTTAATTCTCGGTGTCATAATTGGCTTCGCAATCTCAAAATGTGCAAATCGTCAACCACGAAATGCCTTTCCATTTGGAACTACTCCCGATAGTCACAGAAATCATTTAGGTTGGCCAGTGCCTACAAAGCAATTACTTTCATTGCCAACAATGAATAATGGTGGAAAGGATATAAATCTATTAATGAACGCAAATGCGACGACTATCAATAAAGATAGTAAGAAGGATAATTTAGAGTTAGAATTTTCATTAGGAAATAAGGATAGGCTTAATGAGTGTAAGAATTCAAATGAGAGTCTTGACAAAGAGACGTGCAAGTCAGCTGTAATATCAACGACGGGTGGAACACTGCAGAAAGTCAAAAAGACGTACATTTGAGTCAACCTTAATATAAACATAAAAAAGTGAGGAATTTTAATCCATTATAAAATTTGTTATGAAGCTTTAAAGCAAGCTTTGTCCATTCCAATTTTTTTATATGTGAAAGAAAATATATTCAAAAAAAAAATTATTAATGCAGAGAAAGCTTCAATGGAACAAATTTTTCATATCATTTTTATAGTCATTTCAAATTAATATTGAGTTTTTTTTTTTGTAAATACATAAAAGCATCTTTTGAGAAGATTTATTGGACTCAATTTTATGAGAGATGAAATGCTGCTGCAATGTTAGATAGTAAATTATTTAAATTTTTCATATTTTTATTGAAAAAATAAACACAAAAAGATAGAAAATCAATTTTCAACAACAAAACAAAAGAAAAAAAGAAAACATCTTGGATTATATTAATCTAGACAGAAAACAATTGATAAATAGCGCACGATATTTTAATGAGTGGTGCTTCTTTATATTCCATATCATTATTTTTATGAATGAAAATTATATTTGATTCGGATTTTGACTCAGTTTTTGTTGAGTTGTGTCACTAGAAGCTTCATTGATATACAATTAAAATCGTAGATTTTTTGGGGTCGGACAAGAAGTTTCGTTGGAATTGATGAAGGTTTTGAACTTAAAATTTTCAAAAATTAAACTTTTGTCATTTAAATATCAAAAATTTAAATTTATGGCAGTTAAAAATGTTCAAAAATTTGAATTTTGGTCCGTTGAAGTTCAAAAATTTAAATTTATGGCAGTTAAAGTTCAAAAATTTAAATTTATAGCAGTTAAAGATCAAAAATTTAAATTTTTCATTTAAAGTTCAAAATTAAAAACGTGTCAGCTTTAGTTCAAAATGACTAAATTCTAAACTGCCATCAATTCCATCAAAACTTCCCAAACCAGCCTCACAAATCTTTGTACAAAAAAAATCATATTTTTTTCCTATGCCAAAAAAGTCAATTTGATTAGCATGTAAAAGTATTTACTAAATTAAAATACGTTCTCTATTGGGCATAGTGCTCTCTTATTAATTAGCGGATATGAGCTAACTTCTCGAGTCGACACATTTCGTCGGCAAGTCGCTAATTAATCAACATAAAAAACGATACAAATATTTCCCAGTACAAGAGCAAATTAAATTATAACTTAAGTATGTCGAATTAGGTCGAAATGTCAATAGATTGTTTTCGTGTGACATAATTCATCAAAAAAAAACATTTATTTCGTCATGAATATCCGACATGAAAATGAGGTGTTGTCTATCCACAGCTGGGGAGATTCGGTTGATAGAGTGGAAAATTTTAATGATAGCGAATTTGGCGGGAAATCATGTGAATTATAGAGTGATAATTTGAACTTACCGTACAGTGGTGTAACTAGGGTTTGCTAAATGGTTCAACTTCATAAGACAATTATGATTTAAAGCTACAAAAGTCTTAAGGAAGATCCAGGAAGCTTAAAACTCTATTGATGCTTTTGTTAATTGATCAACTAGGTTTTAAAATTGTTAAAAAGCATCAGATGCTTCTAAACTCTGAAGGATCAAGTATATCAGATCTTATGCTCAATTTTGAGACTAGCTTAAGAAGATTGAGTGATCCAAGCACCTCATTAGATCATAAACAGGTCAAATATAGAAAAATTAAGTTCAAAGCACTCAAAATCAACAACTTTAGAGAGTTTACTTCCTCTAGCCACAACAAAATATCAATAAAGACTTCCACTAAATCAACCAATTACCCCTGCAAGACTTTATCTACCTAATATCATTTTCCTTCCTCCGTCTTACTTGATTAATTCACGATTATCATTACTTATGATATTTTTTTTTAGAATATAATTTTGCCAGAGATTTATGTAATTTTTTAATTAAGTATAATTATTAAGATAATAATGACTGATATGAAAAATATTATTATTATGTAATAATGACTCTGAAAGCTTCCAAAAGAAGAAGATTTATATAAATTAAAACAAAATTGAGGACAATCGGTAAATGTATGAGAGAATTTATAAAATAATTCAAATAAAAAAAAGTAATAATCTGCAATGTGATATAAGCTTAGAGTTTGTTGGAACAAAGATATCTGTAGTAAGATACACAAAATAATTTTGAATACAGAGTACGGATTTAGTGTCAAGTCAATACCGATTATAAATAACTATTACAAGTCCATATTTAATGAAAGAAAGAACGACGAGTGTCGAGAGGTGTCAACAGTTTTGGTCGGCGTGGATAATTGTAAGTATACAGTTTACTGATGAGAGCTCAAGTGCCCGTCTTGAAAATAACTTTTTTTCTTATCCAAATAATTGGACATTGGCTACAGTAAGCAAAAAAACCGCTACTGCTGTGTTTTAAGGTTGATTTGCTGATTTTATGCTTGTTTGAAATGTATATTGACAATTATGAACTTCCAGACTGCATTTCTATCCATAATGTGAAACATCCATTAGATATTTATCAGATCTAATTTTTCAAATCAAATTTGAAAGATTTTGAAGCTCAAACGACATGAATCATTGCAAATCCAATGGCTTTAACCTCTGTGTGAAGCTTCCCATCCACATTACACAATTCACACGACAATAACTCAAAAATAATTAAAGTTTGGTCACCAAACATCATTACAATGCCTGTCATGACATAATGACAAAGAAAAGTCCAAAAAAGTTGACACCCCTTGCGCGCAGTTCACATTACGTGCCTATTAAATGTGTACATCATTAATATTAAAGAAAAGATTGACTAAAAATATAATTTTTGCATATTATGCAAGTTACACATTTTTATAGTCTTTATTTTCGCAACTCCGCTTCATTATGAATGCTATTTTTAAAAGAAATGAAGACGTAAAAAAAACTTTACGTGCACATCCAGCTTAAAGTCTCATTTTTATTGATGAAGATTATTTCACTCAAAATGTAATAAAATTAAATTATATTAAACAATAAGAAAGATGCAGCCTGAAAAATTGCAAAATATATTTTTTGTAAAGTAATAGAGGAAATAGTTTCAAGGAAGGGGATAGCTTTTGGAGCTTTATGGAGAATTTGTTGAAAAATATGTTTGTTGCGAAGACAATGAAGTTGAGGTTCCAAAAAAGAACTTAAGGTTCAAAAATTGAACTTGAGGTTTAAAAATCAAACTTTAGGGTCAAAATTGAAATTAAGATTCAAAGATTGGGCTTGTTGTTTAAACATTGAACTTAAGGTTCAAAAATTCAAAAACTTTAAGTACAAAAATTAAACTTTTGATTCAAAAATTGAGCTTTAGGTTCAAAAATTGAACTTAAAATTCAAAAAATTAAATTTAAAGTTTTAAAATCATTTTCAAATTTCCATAAAACTTTGATTTTTATTCTCTCCTTGTAAAAATATTCAAGTTGTTTAATTAAGCTCTTAAACATTAAAACAGTAAGTCATGAATGCTCTTTCATTTGAATTATAAATTTATTATTTTCATATCCTCCGGACATCAGCAAATGCATTTATATTAAAAAAAAGTTTCCGGAAACTTATTTAAAACCTTAATCCGAATGAAAAGGCACTCATGCCTTACAATGAGAAACTCTCTTCTGTATTCAACAAATCTGTCCATTTTTTTATCGATCAAAATAAGTAAAATGATTGTTTAATTTAATCTTAGCTAAGCTTAAAAAATATTTTTTCAAGGAACAACAAAATCATATGACAAAACATAGATACACATATTTTGTAGATAGATATTATAACAAATGTGTATTAATTAAAAAAAATGTACAATAAAAAAAAACTTTATGAAAAACAAAAAATCGATTTTTAATAATCTATTATTTTCCACAGCATTAAACATTTCATTTACCGTTTGGTGTTGCTGCTTGCGTTGTGATTTCAAATTGGCAGATGATCACCAAATAACTACCGACAACAGCGATATTAGAAAGTATTAATGGTAAATTAATGTCGAAAAATCCGCATGATACTTTAATCGGTCTTAGTTTAATAAGCTCAAAGAGTAGCTGCATCTGTGTGGTCATATCGATGCTTCCGTTGTGCGTCGTCCATGCGTATTCCACGATGTAAGAAGAGAAATTTTGGAACTAATGCAAGTCATTAATTAATCATAAAATAAATTCAAACTTAATCAATTTGGGGTCGTTTAGTAAGTGATGTCTATCAAGTATTGAGAATTTTAGTTAAGGGTCGTTCACTTATGACGTCTGAATTTAATTGACATTTCTCAAAAAAGGAACAAAGGATTTCCTGGAATTTCTATTGTTCTTTTCTTGCTGACCCCCCCACCCTGGACGTCATAAGTGAACGGCCCCTTATTTGCCGCTTTCCTTTTTTGAAGTCTCTTGAACTCTTTTGAACTTATTATTTCTTTGCTGAATACCCGTCCGTTCTCTTGATCCCCTTTTTACTTCTATTGAACCCCCCTTAGCTTTAAAGGATCCCTTCTTACCTTTTTTTAGACCCCCTTAAGTTTTTAAAAGCTTCTTTTTAACTAAAATTCCCATTTTAATATATACATCATTACTAAATGAACCCCTTACCACAGTAATCAGATAAAATGAGCAGCCTATGGATATAATCGTTGGTATTATAAACGCCAGTGTCACCAGCATGGCAAGATACAACGATGCCCAGTCAAAAAACTCAGCTGAATTCATCGCAACTCTTAATAAGTAATAAGCTATGGTCACTTCATAAATTAATGAAACTGTGTACACGCAGATCATCTGTAATTAAATCAAATATATTTTTAATGTGAGAAGAGCTCTTTAAACAGTAATTAAATAAATACTTTATAAATGAGCATCATTATTCATTGAAATTTGAATCCCATCCAAGATATTAACATTAGAGATTTTTTTTTCTCAAATATATTTTATTATACGTTTTTAGCACTAATTTATAGGCTATTTAGTCAATTTGATATTTTTGAGAAATTTTTTTCAGCTTTCAAAAGTTTTCGTAATGTTTGGGAAAATATTTACATTTAGAAGTAGGTATGTGGACAGGAAGTTTAGTTTTAAAAATTACAGATTTATTAAAAGCTTGGAGAAATTTTTTAAAATTGGGTTTTTGTGTAATTAAGTGTAAGAGAGCTTACTGGAATTGATCGATTAATCGTCAAAGTTTCAAAATAATTTTTAACCGTTAAATTTTCAAAAAATTGGAACCGTTAAATTTTCAAAAAATTAAAACCGTTAAATTTTTAAAAAATTGGAACCGTTAAATTTTCAAAAAATTGGAACTGTTAAATTTTCAAATGTTTTTTAACCGTTAAATTTTCAAAAAATTTCATCTTTAAATAATCAAAAATGTTTTAATCAATTTTTTAAATATTTTGGGATACATTAAAGAGTTAAAAAAACAAACTCATACAAAACAGCTTACAAAGTTGCCAAAACTTACTAAGAAGCAACAAATGTCTCTCAAAACGTGACTATTATCATATTTAATGAGCATGACACACAGAACGACACGTTCATTTATCCACAAAACGTGCGTAATTAAGTCAAAAAACTGCGTAAAATTTTTGTAATTCAATAAGAACAGCAGTTAGTCATCAATAATTCAATTAAAAAAAAACTTTTACTAAGCACAAAAAAAAATTCGCAACTTAGTTCTACTCCAGAAAAAATTGCTATTTTGATTCTTTCACTCAACCATTGAATTACAAATTAAATACTAACCTCAATTGAAAACACCAAATTGATTTCGTTAACAGCACGTGAGATATAAATGTACAGCATCGCAATATCTTTTATTAATTTCTTCTTCATCATTAATGAGTGGATTGAAAGAAACTCTGTTTTGTGTTTTACAGATAGGAAATTTCTGAGGATTGAAAGAAGAATGAAAACAAACTCATTAGCGAATTTCAAATCATCAGCAAAATCAAGTGGAAAATTTGTTATTAGATCGAATTTAATTGAGTGTCATGAACTCCGCTGTGTAGCGCTTCGCAGTCATTGCTCTTTGGGTTAATTAATCTGGCATTTTGTGCAACTATTGGAATTTACTACTATTGAGGTCATTCACATGTGACGTCAAAATATAGATCGGGGTGAGGAGTGTCAGTGACGTCACAATTTAAAAGTGATCAAGACAGCTTCTCTAGTCAGCATTCAGTATGCTTTGAGCACCATAAGATTTTCTTATGCCACTGCAAATTAGCCCCCCCCCCCCCTACAACAAGCATCTGAACAATCCCCCTCCCCCCTCTTGACAAGCTTAATTCAAATAAGTCCAGCAATATCTCTGCAGATTATCACCCAAAGACAAGCTTTTATGTGCCTTCATCCATCATTTGGTACTGCCACAATTCCCCCTCCTCTCTATATCCAGCTAAATCAAACACCACAAGACTAATCGAACCCCATTAATCTCCAACAATGACTCTTTCATCCATATTAAGAAAGTGACGCAAAAAATGCTCAATATCAGGGTTAGTAAAAAAAGTAATTGAAATCACGCAGCTACAGCCACAGCATGAAGACGATGTCAACAGTAGTTACCAAAATTGTTTACCATCCGGTGGTAATTTATTTTTTTGGAATTAACTGCTGAGTTTGCGACATTCAAAGACAAATTATATTGAAAGCTTTACAACCTACGCGTAGATGAAGCATCACGCAAATTATTAAATTTATTCTATTGCTCGAGAATTTTCAGATAATAGGTCTAATTGATGACTCAAGTGTGGAGCATGTCGGAAATGTTTTATTAAAAAATAATTGTATGGAGCTGTTCATTAGATATTTGGTGTTATAGCTTGGAATACAACTTTATTGAATCAAGTGTATTTCTTATTGGAGCACATTCCTTAGTTTTGATGAATGAATAAGGAAAAGTTTGTGTAAATAAGATCAGAGATTAGAGGCTGTTATTAAACATTAAGGAAGAGCGTACCAACAAGATATTACTCTTTACATACCTAAGGTGACTTACCCTATGGATTTTAAGGTATAAATGAAATTTAAGTGTGAATTGTGAAAAGTGCCTGACTAGGGATTATATTACTATAAGTGACCAAAGGGAATAAGTGATTAGGGTGGAATTCCATGGTCAAAAAAGTCAACTTTACGTTAAAATGCTTTATCCTCACACTGGCAGGGATCTACAACATAAAAGTAGACAACGCTAGCTTAAAATTTTCAATAATAGTTCAACTAGGTCATGTATTGAAAGATTCTTTAAACTTAGACACAAACTGACCTAGTCAGTAGTGGAAGAAGCTATATGCAGCTCCATCATCAGTTCAAACACCTTCCTGACATTCATAATGATAATAATTATAATAAACAAAAGAATGCCAACAACATTTAAAAGAATTACAGTAAATAAGCTCTTATAATCATAGAGAATAAGGATAGAAACCATTATCCAACACCCAATAATAGCTTTAAACCATATAAACATTCCATAATAATTCATTGAACCTGTCACTCGTCCCATCTTCACACATTGTCACATGATAACAAATATTTTAAAGTGCCAAAGCCCCATTTTTATAAAGGAGTGATGAGACAATCATCATAAATTTAAAAAAATTATATATTTCATATGCATAAACACTTAATATACACATAATAATGAAAAGAATACACAAGAGCTAGTAAAAGTTCATGACATTAGGTGACCCATTGCGAAGAGATAATTTAAATGTATATTTCAACTGTTCAATTTCTAATGTTGGACAGAAGGTCATGAATAAAATGTGTGTTTGGAAAATTAACATATATCCATGACCAAAAACAGCTTCTATGCTTGATCATAGAAATTACTTAATTTTTAATTTTTTTTTTTGAGGTTTGGCTTAATTTAAAGCATGTTTTATTAATTAATAAAACCTTTGAATGAGTAATTGCAGAATTTTCTGGTGACTAATCAGACTAAGTTGTGTAAGCTACACAGTTTTATGGAGTTTGTTTATTGATGTGGCTTTTGTTGTATAGGAATATTTAAAATTTCACAAAAGCCGTTAAAAATATTCGATTTTTTGTAATTTATAAAACCTTCAAAATTTACAAAAACCGTTTTAAAATTCAAAATTTACAAAACCGTTAAAAATTCAAAATAAATAAACCTCCAAAAATTACAAAAGCCGTTAAAAATTCAAAACCTACAAAACCGTTAATAGTTAAATTTTAAACCTTTTAAAAATATGTTTAGCCAATCAATGCATGCACAATTCGTAGTAGCTATCAATTTACATCAGCTTTTGATCACTTTTCTTACCGCACATTCGAAAATAAAGTTTTCATTCTCTTTATAGCTGCGACTACAGCAAAAATAAATTGACCAGAAACTACGATATAGACCAAATGGCAGAGCGTAGCCAACAAGATTGTAAAAATGCCTTTTTTGATCAGAAGTTTCAAAAACAATGTCAAAATGGAATTTAATGCAATAAAAATTATGAAAAACATGAAATAGATTCTTGAACTTTTGACTTGATATTCCCAGTTCTCTTTCTTCAATTTCTGATCAAATGCATGAAATGATTGCAACATTTTCTTGATGTGACTTCTTCGGATGTGATTAAATATGAGCAAAAATAATAATTGAAGAAATTCCCAAAGAAAAATTAATGCCATAACTTCACTCAAAAAACTGGAATTCCCTAAGCTTCCAGAAATGTATTCAAAGTTATCAATTAAACTATAAGTCAAAATTGACAACCAGAAAATAATTGCCAAAGATAAAATAGTGAGATCAAGAATTGAAGTTTGAATGTCACATCCTAAATTTGTAATTCCATAGCTTGCCAAACCAAAGACCTTTGCTAAAAAGTTAAAAGGAATTGTTGCTTGAAAAATATTGTCAGATTTAAAATATGAACTGAATCCCATCGTAATTATCGTAAAACTAAAGGATAGAAAATTAAAATGATATAAAGTCACGACACTTTTGCAATTTTAATAAATTGAATATGTATATTTTTGTCAGATTGATCACGCAATAATATTAAAATAAGGTTCCACAAAATAAAAATTTCAAGTCATTGGTATTAATTATGTGCGCGTTATGTACCAACGATTGCGCACTATGTACCAACTATGGCGCACTATGTACCAACTATGGCGCACTATGGACCAAAAATAGCACACTATGAACCAACTATGGAGCATTATGGACCAATTATTGAGTTCAATTAATACGTTTGATTTTTAGTGGAATGGATTCTAGGATTTTGTAACATAGGATCTAAAAAAAATGCTTTCTTGTCTAGTGCTGTAATGAAATAAGCAAAGGGTCCAAATAAAATAATACGCAGTATAAAACAATTATCACTAGCAACAAATTCCCAACACAATGATTAATTCTTACCGAGCATTTTCATACAACACTTTCATTCTCTTAACAGCTGCATACACAGTAAGCGTAAATTGACTTGACACAATAATATAGACGAGATTATTGAATGCTAATATCAAAATTTTCACGAAACTAGAATTCACAAAAAGTTTCGATAAGAGTGTCAAAATTACATTACAGATAGCAAAAGCCACAACAAATAAAAAATGAAACTTTGAGTTTTTAACTAGGTATGACCAAGTTCCGTTCCTTAGCTTTTTATCAAAATCATCAAAAGATTTTAGCATTTTCTGGATATGATGGCGTCTTATATGATTATAAATAAATAAAAAAAGTGACAGGATGACTGGGAAAGTAAATGAAATCTCCTGAACTTGATTAAGAAAATTTGAATCGTGAAACAGATTAGTACTGGCAGCTACAAAACTAACGTATATATGATAAGCCATAATGCATATCCAAAATAAAATTGTAAGTGTCAAAATTACAAAATCGAAAGTTGATGTTTTAACTTCAAATCCCCAATTTGTGACACAATAACTTGCTAAGCCAAAAGCTTTTGCTAAATAATTGAATGGAATCGATGCTTGAAAAATATTATCAACTGCAAAATGTGAACCGATATTCATGCTGATTGGCACTTATTTAAATTTGATTTAAAAAAAATTTAAAAAATTAAACTGTGGAAAATTATTAAAAATTAATGAGACTTCTAAATGTATGTCTTATCTGATGGAATCACGTAATGGAATTAAAAATAAATTGTTGCATGTATACTTCAGAACTAGACCAGGATTCAGAATCGACAATATTTCCCAGGGACATAGCTAAAGCTTTTTGGTCAACCTAATGTCTTACTGTCTATCCTGAGACGTAATCATTAGTCCTTCAAAGTCCTAACCACACAAATGACAATTCATTTCCTTACCGAACATTTAAAAATAAAATGTTCATTCTCTTTATAGCACCAAACACAGCAAAAATGAACTGACTAGAAACCACAATGTAGTTTAAGTTATTGAATGTAAGCAGCATAACCTCTTCTATCCCATTATCAACTAATGGCGTCATAAGTAGCGATAATATCGTAAAACCAATCAGAAATGTCACTAAGTATAGGAAATAAATCCTAGAGCTATTCATTTGATATGTCCAATGAACCTTCCTTAACATCTTATCAAAATCATTAAATGATTTCAGCATGCATTGAATGTGACGTCTTCTAATGTGATTAAAAGGTCCGAAAAATATTGTCCCAACAACTGATGTGATGGAACTTAACTGCTGAATGCGATTTAAATAGTTTGAGTTGCCATCAAGTTCACTCGTGTCGAAAGTAATCATTTGAAAGATAGAAAATGCTGCAATAAAAGTCCAAAACAAAACTGTTCCTGCTAATGCAGCCAAATCACAGCATGACGACTTGATGTCACATCCATATCGTGTGATTCTGTACGTTCCCAACCCAAAACACTTTGTAAGATATTGGAAAGGAATTGAGGCTTGATAAACGTTCTGAGCTTTCAAATATGAACTTATTTTCATGGCAATAGTAATAGCACTGCTAGTTATGAGGAGCTAATCGAAAAGTAATTTTAAAAAGATCAATATTATTGAATGTACTGTTGCTAATCAGATGGATATAGTAATGGAATTGGATTTAAATTTATAAAATTTAATTTTTTTAATACTTAAACAAAAGGTTGATTGCTTCTAAACTATAACTTATAATAAGGGAAAATTGTGGTATGTAGTTTGGAGCTGTGCACTACTTTAAATTAATTATTCTAACATTTATAAAGGCTTTTTTTTTGCACTGACGTCCTGATGTAATTCGGAGGGGAGGATATTCAAAGAAAGACGTCCATTTTAAATTTCTTAGCAGATCTAGTGAACGGCCCCTGTTCACTTATTACGTTCGCATTTTAGGGGGGAGGGGGGGGGGTGTCTAAAAGTATGTAACGTTCTAACTGTCGTCTGTCTTTTTAAAAAAAAAGTTCACGAAAAAAATTTGTTTACAAATTCACACCAAAAACATTTTTTTAAATTTCCCCTGAACGTTCAGGGGGGGGGGGTGTTGTGAGTTGTAACATATTGTAACAAGGGGGGTGAAAAAAGTCGTTTTTTGCGTAACGTAATAAGTGAACGGCCCCAAATATATTTTAATCAAATGTCGATCTTAATTAGGATAGTTAAACGCTCCTGCCTTAACCAACATCATTTTGAGCCAGGTCTGATCCCACCCGAACATCATATTCATTCAAGAATTTTCTTACCGAACATTTAGAAACAAAATATTCATCCTTTGTATAGCAGCTGTCAAAGAAAAAATGAACTGACAAGAAACCACAATTGAGGTTAAGTTGTTAAACATAAACAAGATAACTTGAGCAATTCCATTGTGAATTACTAGTTTCATAAGTATTGACAAAATCACGAAAATAGTCAAAAATATCATAAAAACCAGAAAACTGATTCTTGAGTTCTTGATTTGATGTGTCCAGTGAACATTCTTTAATTTCTGGTCAAAATCATCAAATGATTTAAGCATGGTTTGGATGTGACGTCGTTGGATGTGATTAATAGGACCATAAAATATTGTACAAGCGATTACTGTGATTAAACTTAATTGCTGAATTTGATTTAAATATTTTGAGTTGTCATCAAGTTTAGAACTGAAGCCAAAAGTTTGAAAGATATGATAAGCTGCAAGTAAAGTCCAAAACGATACTGTCCCTGCTAGCACAACTAAATCACAACTTGATGACTTGATGTCACATTCCAAACTTGTGATTCTGTAGGTTCCCAATCCAAATAGTTTTGCCAAATAATGGAATGGAATTGCAGCTTGATAAATGTTTTGAGCTTTTAAATATGAACTTATTTTCATTGCAATAGGACTAGCACTGTCGTATATTAATAGTTATTGCCAATCATCAAGCATTTTTTAAAATCAGTAAAATTAAATGCATTTCTTTGGCAGATATATCAAGTAATGGATTTAAAATTACAGTTGCTTAGCTTATTTTTAAATTAACTAGATAATAATCAGAGGTTCTCAAACTTTGTGCAGCGGTACACTCCTGAGTTTCTTACCGAACATTTTTAAATAAAATTGACATCCTTTTAATAGCTTCAATTACAGCAAAGATGAACTGACTAGAAACCACAATGTAAGTCAAACTATTGAATGTGAGAAGCACAATCCTAGTAAATGTATTATCAACCATAACTTTCATAAGAACTGATAGTATCACATAAATCAGCATAAAAATCACTAAAGGAACAATATAAGTTCTTGAACATTTAATTTGAAATGTCCAATGTTCCTTGATTAACTTTTGATCAAAATCGTTTAATGATTTTAGAATATTTTGAATGTGATGACGTCGATTGTGATTGAAAAGACATAGAAATATAGTCATGAGAATTCCAATGATGAGAACAATCTGCTGAATTTGATTCAAAAAGTCAGATTCGCCAAGAACTTCTTTATTTCCATCGATTATATTTTCAACAGTGTAGTGAACTACAATAGAGCTCCAAAACAAAACTGTTCCTGATAATATCACTAAATCAATGATTGAAGACTGAATGTCACATTCCGAATCTGTAATGCTGTAGGTTCCCAAGCCAAAAAACTTTCCCAAATAATTGAAAGGAATTGAAGCTTGAAATATGTTTTGAGCTTTAAAATAAGAACCGATGCTCATGATAACTGTTGAACAACTATAAATTTAGAAGTCATTGTTGAATTGAATCATGAAGCTTTTGAAAATTTAATGTATAGGAGTGTATGTCCTTATCAGAACAAATCACGGAATGAAATTTCAACAGCAAATCGTAATTCCGATTAGTAATGCTTGGAAATTCTCATAATTATGATTTTTGTGTTTAACTTTTAAAACAATAAAGCTTTACACCCTTACTACAATCCTAGAATATACTTTTGCAAAAAGGCATTCAGCCAATCTCAGACCACCACTTAAAACTTTTTTCTTACCGCACATTTGCAAAAAAAACTTCCAATCTCTTTATAGCTGCAATTATAGCCAGAGTAAATTGAATAGACACAACAATGTAGACCACATTATTGAAAGTCATCACTAAGATTATGACATAATCAGGTGGAACCAGAAGTTGCATGAGAAATGATAAAATGACATCAGTTGTGATCAAAACAACAAGAAATATAAAGTATGTCCTTGAATTCTTGACCTTATACGGCCAATGTTCATCTCTTAATTTCCGATCAAAAGCATCAAAAGATTTAAGCATTTTCTTTATGTGTCGTCTTCTTTTATGATTGAATATGATTAAAAGCGGCAATTGAAGCATTTGAATCGTAAATGTGATTTCTTGGATTTTATTGAGGAAATTTGATTCCTTGAACTCTCCACGATCAATGCTGTCATACAAATTCGTGATGTTAAGTATTGTCAATACAACCCAGACAAAAATTTGAATTATTAGAACCAACAAGTCACAAAATGATGTCCTAATATCACATCTCCATCTATTTATCCGATAACTTCCAAGTCCAAGTAACTTTCTCAAATAATTAAATGGAATTGAAGCTTGATAAATATTTTTTGTTACAAAAATCGAACCATTTCCCATGGCAATTATAAACTAAGTAGTAATGAGTGAAAAATATGTTTTGACCTAGTTGTAGTTATTTAAAATTTTAGCACGCACTATTTTAAATATTTATGATTTATAAATGTTCATTAATGTAATATCAATCAAGTTAATGCATTTAAAAATCAAAACAAAATGGTTAATTTGGAGTAATTTGTTAAAAGTCAAGGTTGATGCTTTTAGAAATTTTCATGTTTTATCCATAAGCACTTTTAATGGATAATATTCTTAAATCATTACGAGTTTAGCGGAATCTAGGGTATGATCCATATGTAGACTAAACTGTTGGTATGAGAGTAAGAGTTCTGCAGCCGAATGGTTAAGGCACGAACAGTCAAGATCCTCTTTTATGTGAGCTTGTGGGTTCGATTCTCACCAGAGTCATTCCATAAATTATTGTCAGTATGTCACTCCTTAATTCACTACTAAAGCTTCAATTGCAGCACTGAGCTCCTTTGCCCGACTTAGCAGCTTAGCTTGAAGTCTTTAAAGCTGAAATCAACTCGGTTTGACTTCACTTCAAGCTCTGCAACATCAAATGTTCAAACTATAAACTTACCTAGCATTATCATATAAAGCTTCCATCCTCTGCGTCACTGCACTCATAGCAAGAATAAACTGACAAGCCACCATCAAAAAAACTAAATTATTAAGTGTTTCTAGAATAATTTCAAAAAATCCATATCCAGAAATGGGAATGAAAAGTTGAAGCTGCAGTGATAAAACTGTTTCTAGTATTACAAAAGCCACGATAGCAAGGAAGTATTTCCTTGAATTATTAATTTGAATTGGCCAATTTTCAAACTTTAATTTCTGGTCGAAATCTTCCACAGCTTTTAAAAATTTAGAGATATTTTGCCTTTTGGAATGATTGTAAATAATCAGAAAGATAGACAGAGTAACTTGAATGATTAACGACACAGTTTGGATACTGTTCAGGAATTGTTAGCTTTTGAAGTTTCCATTATCTGCAGAATAAATTGATCGGACTAGCTCATGTCCTTCAATAACTATCCAAAAAATCAAGGAACCAGCTAAAATTACATGATCAGTAAAAGTTGTCTGAATGTCACATCTCCAGCTATTAACACTGTAAGTTGCCAATCCAAATGGCTTTGCCAAATAATAAAAAGGAACTGCAGCTTCATAAATATTCTTGGCTGCAAAATATGAACTAATTCCCATGACGAATATTGCAACACTAAGTAGCACTTGACATAATTATGAATAATTATTAAGTCACTGGATTTAATTATGTATATAGATCACGAGCCTTTTAAGAAAATTAATGATTGTATATCTATATCAGATGAATCACGTCATGTTCACATTAAATTATCTATCTCTACAATTTAATAAAAATCTTTAATTTCATTAACAATAGAAAAAGTTTATTTCTGTCACAAAAGACTAGATATCGTAAAAAGTTAAGTTTCTATACATTAAGTTATTAAATAATCTTTACAAATTATCACAATGAGCAATTTTCAAGCATAGAAAATTGAAAATTATAGCTTATTAAACATAGATTTTTTTAATTGAACAAATAAAGAAAATAATAGGAAATTGCGAGGTTGCAAAGTTGTGTTAGGATTTATGCGAAAGCGCACTAGTAGTTTAGAGAAGATTATAGCATATAGCATGCTATTTTGTGCAGTTTTACTTAGTTCAGATTTTAACCTAGTCGAATCAGCTTTACTTAGTATAATTCAGCACGAGTCAGCTAAACTGCTGAATTCAGCATTGATTAGCTGTATTTGATTCTATTCAGCAACTGTTCAGTTAAATTCAGCAAATCTGAGCTAAGTTCAGCACTATAAAACTGAAATATTCAGCACTTTTCAGCTATGTTCAGCTCCACGTAGCTGAATTAAGCATCATTCAACTTTACTCAGCACAATTCTGCTCAATTTTGAAAGAATTTAATACAAAATGACAAAAGGAAGCATTTATTAGCTTGATTTAACATTAAAAACTTTAATTATAAGTCCCTCAAATATAATTCAGCATATTTCAACATTTTAACTTACTTAATCACAGATAAAAATCAACAAAATCCATGAAAATAACAAAATTTAAACTTACTAAAGTTTATAAGGGTCAAGACATTTAAATCTTTTATAGACTTATTAAAACATTCCATTTCTGATGATCTTTCAATCATCAATGAATAATTTTCAAAAATCATCCATATCTAATTCCAAACTATAAAATACCCAAAGTGAACAAAAAATAATTATTTCCATAATAATAGTCCGTAAATGAACTGAAACTAAAGCCATTTACACTTTTGCTGCGATGACCTATTACCAGCCATTTCTCTATGCCGTAAAAATTAGCTGAAAATCTTCTCATTACCCAACTTGTTATCGTAATTACACTGTCTTCGATGATGCTGTATCGGCGCATGAGTTGTTGGCTTGTTGTGTAATCTCAAATTGACAGATGATCACTAAATAATTTCCGACAACAACAATGTTAGAAAGTAGCAGTGGCAGATTAATTTCGAAAAATCCACACGTAATCTTAATTGGTCTTAATTTTAGAAGTTCCATAAGAAGCTGCATCTGTGTTGCTAGCGGTAAGTCATCGGAATCAATATTGTTCGCACATTCAGCTATGTGTGACACGAATCTGTTGAACTAGATTTTAAATATTGATAGTATTTTATGTAATTAAGTTTGGGACTTAATCTTACCAACATAATCAGGTACGCGCACATGAAAACAGCGAAGAAGGTGGGCGCAATGTATACAATAATCAAAAATATAGAGCCATAGAGAATTTCCCAGTTGAAGAAGTTTTCTACGTCCATAGCTGTCCGGAGTGCATGATATAGGATTGTTATCTCGAACAAAAGAGACAGTGCAAATAAAGCAATCATCTAAAAATAGATTGAATATGAGAAACTAATGGAATTACTACTCAAAGAAAATGAAAGTATTCGTAATTGATTTTAATTCTTTTGCAAGGCAAATAAATCGTTTCAAAAATTGAATCAAAATTACGTTCAGTAAAATTTTCGCATCAAAAGTGTGTTCAGTAAAAGTTTCGCATCGTCAAAAGTGCACTCGGATAAATTTTGCATCAAGAGTGCGTTCAGTAAAAGTTTCACATCAAAAGTATATTCAGTAAAGTGAAAAGTAATTAAAACTCAATTGAAATGTCTAACTTTTATATAGTCACTCCCTGACTTCATATAAATCACAGCATCAAAGATTAATATCTAGGAAAAGAGGTTGCTACAATTTTGTTAATCTTATTATGCATTACATTGTACTTAATGTGGTTTTTATTCATATTCATACGCTCGTTCCTATGAATTGTGAATAAATTATGCTTTTTGTGACTTAATATAAAAGTCGAGATTGAAATGTCTATATCAATCTAATTTACTAGCAAACTAGACATTTGTCATGCATCATTTTTCAAAATAAAAAATTGTAACAAAACTCTTCCTTGTTAAAAATGAATAGAAAAGGAAATAAGTTCAACCCAATGGCACATATCCAAATTAGTTCAACTATATTTCCTCATACTCGTGATTTGAAATTAATACCTCAATAGAAAATATTAAATTTATTTCATCCACAGCATTTATTAAAAAATTGTAGGCTTTCATCACATCCTTCATTGTTTTCTTTTGGAAGGATATTCTTGTTGATATGATTTTAATTCCTGATTTGTTGACATCATTGATTGGTAATAGATACCTACGGAAGAGAAAATAAGGCTTGGTTTACTTTCTCAAAGAGAGTATGCAAGACATAAACTATTGTGGTAGGTTGTGGAATTTCCATTGTGTTATGTTTATGAGTTTTGTAATAAATATGTAGTTACTGACGTGATGGCAATACTTAGTCAACTACAGAATTTTAATTGTTTATTTTTTGGAACAAATTAAGTCCATATTTGGACTAATATTTTTTGGGAGCCTTGAAAACTTCGGACGTGATCATTTTTTCACCTGTCACTCTTAATTTGCGGCTAAAGATTGAGAAACATCTCCTTGTTTCATTTTGAAGTCAATTGGAAGTTTTAATATCAGGTTTGATGGTTAAGAATCTGTCATTGAGTATGGCATGCTTGACATAGTGGTTTGAATATGGATCATATTAGGTAAAAAATCTCCTTTAAAAAGATGAAGTTTGATTCTTAATAGTGATTTCAAGCATTCACAAATCTTATTCTAGACACCAATAGTTTGATGATTCACTGTACACCAGGGGCGTAGCCAGGGGGGGGGGGCATAGGGGGCCCGGGCCCCCCCTATGAAAATCTGATAATTGTTTTATTAAGTATTTATAGAGAAGAATCAGTTAATGTAGAGGAAGTGATGAAAGAAATGTCAAAATCACCACGAAAAATTAAATTTAATATATGAATAATGAATTAAATATTTAAACTTATGAAGAATGAATATAGATTTAAGGATACAAAATAACGGTTTTTTAATTTTCAAAAATGGGCCCCCCTTCAAAAATTTTCTGGCTACGCCCCTGCTGTACACTATTTATCTATGACAATGACTCACAGTTCACTTTCTAGGTATCATTAATGTTTTATATTATCACTTTGTTGTAGAAAACACTCAAAAGTATAATAATGTGGTAATGAGTATCAGGTGCGGTGAAATACTTCATGGGAAATTTTCTATTTATTCAGTTAATTATGCAAGCGGGAGCATTTATGCAGAATGCTATGAATTTATTCTGTGTGGAAATTCCTTTGTTCAATCGATTCGAGAATTTCCCACTTGAAGAAAAGTTCATGTTGATAAAAGAATGAAGTTGGAAACTTTGGAGTGGGTTTAACCTTTGAATTATTGAATTCCAATTTGTCTGGGTTATTCAGACAAAGAATAGCTATTCACCTTATGCATCTGTACAAAGTCTTTGTAGTTTGTCCTCGAAGTCGAGCTAGAATTAACTAGAAGTAAAGTTGATTCAACTCGAGATCAATGTTTAATTCTTGCTTAGGATTAAAAAGCTTATTTTTACTATTGACTCCTTTAACCTACTAGATGAACTTATAATAAACTTTAAATCAATAAAATTCAAAGCCATATTCGCTCCAACTGTATCTGTTTTAACTTTACTTACTTAACATTCCTCCGTAAAACACCCAATCTAGCTTTCACCGCAAGAACACTTACAGTGAATTGAGTAATAACTGTTGTGTACAATAGAAGATTAAGTTGATAGACGATCAAATCAAACCAATCGTAAAGAGTCATAATAGTTTTCAAATTTTGAAAGCAAATTGCCAATACAATATAGACAACAAAAGCAATCACCGCTAAGAAGTATTTCCATGAATTTTTAACCAAGAATCTCCACTTTAATTCCTTAAGTGTTTCATCAAAATTGTTCAAATTAATCAGAACTTTTTGGATATGCTGAATACGATTCTGATGGAAAATTATGATGATGAATGCAAAAATCATCTCGAAGATCATTTCAATATATTTAACACTTGAAAGATAGCTGGACTCTGTGTCTTCCAATTCATATCCAAAGTACGTTTTGAATGATGAAAAACTATCGTACAAAAATATCAAACAAAATATTAACATTGAACCAATGAAGCATATCTTGTGGATTACATGAACCTCAAAAGCACTGCCATTGACATTGAATTTATAAAATCCGAGACCAACGAATTTAGATAAATAATGTAATGGCACTGATGAATGGAAAATATTTTTTGACTCAAAAACTGAACTTTCCGTCATGACTTTAACACTTTTACTGTGTCATAAAGTCATAAATTAATCTATGAATTCTGGATAATTATTATTGCGTAATTGATATTATGTGATCATACTAGAAATTTGCATGATATTTGCATTAGATGATTAAACTTTAACATGCGATTTAATTTGTTGGATTAAGAAATTATAGACTCTTGCATGTAAGTGAATTAACAAAGTCAATAACGTTTTAAAAGGCAGTATTTATGCGTATATTCAAGGAATTCTAGTGTTATGAGATTTCTAGTATCAAAAACTTGAATTTGGGTTCAAGTAGGGACATGGAAATCGAGATCTTTTTAAGATCTATTGATTCGAGGTGTCTAAGAATTTTCAAAGAACAATAAACTTCTTCCATGTTATTCTGGTAAACCTTTATCACTGAATTGAGTCATGGTTCAACTCTAGCCTAGAAAGGAGGTTTCGGTTTAACCTCTTGGTATCTAGTGTTATACTAGATCTTGTGTTATTGTTGGTACCATGACATTACCTAAAAGTTCGCAGAATCTGTTGTAAAATTACAACTAGAAGTTGGGAAAACCGAATCGGACTCCGAAGCAGAGCAAATGTCAAGTGCATATCTTCTCGTGGCATCGCTAGCGACCGAGCCCTGTGCCGGAATAAGTACTTTAAAGGATAGATTAAAAGTCTATCCAAACAACCTCGCCTGTAGGGTAACAGCCCCACATTCAGGCTTTGGATTGTGAGGTTTACAACCAACAATTCCCGAAATCAACATGTACAAAAAAAGCAACATAAGGTAAACAGGACAATAGTAAAGCTAGATTAAGAGCCTTATCATAGACCTAATCTTAAGAAGTTCTAAGATTAGAAACACTATCAACAGATGCTACAGCTTTAAGTTCCTGATATCATAAAGTCATGTTGAGCAAAAGCATCAAGTTGGATACGATAACTTTTAATTCATAAAACCACAAGGCAATTAATTTAAACACCACATTGTGTGACTTAATAAGTATGTTATATTCAATTACTCTTCATGATATATTGTGGTATATTAATTATATAGCCATAGATTATCCTTATCACGGCATTTAAAAAAAGTTATCACACAAGTTTTATGATTTTCAAACAATATTTATTACTTAATGGATGCCTATGCAAAAGGTAAAATCCAGACGTGACGTCATGACACTCAATGCCAAAGGATTCATGATTTCACTTTGAGTCACGGAATGCAAAGTTTTTCTGTCATAAAACTGAAGTAGATATCGATTAAATGTTGGGTTTTTACTATGGAAATTCCGTTTTGAATTGATTTGTGGATTTTCCGGCTTTAAGTGCATTTTCACATGAAACAACTTACTTGACATTCTTGAATAAGACTCGCAACCGCTTCTTAATGATTTGCACACTAACGATGAATTGAGTAACAATAGCAGAAAATATAAAGGCTATGAGTTGAGCAACAGCAATCTCAAAATATGTAGAACTTTCCAAAATTTTATGTGTAAGAGTTGTAGTGATTACAAAGCATAGAAATATGATTACTACTATCAGATATTCCCATGAATTTTGGCTTAGGTATCTCCAGTTCAACTTTTCAACTAAATTATCAAATCTGTTCAAGTAAACCAAGAACTTGTGGAGATGTTTTCGTCTTCTTTGTTGAAAGATAATAATAAATGTTGCGAAGATCAGTTCCAAAACAAGAATCAATAAAGCAATTTTATTTAAAAAGTTTGACTTTTCAAAACTAAATCCAGGAAGTTCTTCTCCGTTATTGATTGCAATAATTGTTCCAGCAATGACTAAAATTGTCAACAAAGTCCAAAACATCAATACTATTCCAAACCATACTTTATGCTTAGTTTTGACTACAAATTCACTGCCATTAACATTGAAGTCATAAAATCCAAGTCCGATAATCTTTGATAAATAATGAAATGGCAGAAATGAATGGAAAATATTCCTTGATGCAAACTTCGAACTTTGCTTCATAACTTTCACTGACATACTGGACAGTACTTGATGGATATGACATGATCATGATAGCTGGAGGCATGATATTTGCATAATGGCATGAAAAATGCTTTTATCGCATGCAATTTTTATGTTGAAGTTACAAAGTATTGAATAATTTAAAGATTGATGTGGGATTACGGGATGGAATTTGATGTCAAGGGGTTTTGAGGGTTAGATGCACTTGATATGGGTTTCAAATAGCTTGCTTGCCAACTAAAGCTATGTAAAATCATATTTTTTGCCTTGAAATGAGATCGACTACTAAATTTGAAGCTAGATCTATCGCTTAACATCTGTAGCTATCACTAAGTTATGTACAAGTGTAGTGGTGACGATCAGTCGCACTATTTATCGATTGTTTTATCGATCAAGCGACTACCAGTTCTTAGACATCCATCGTGTATTCAACTTCCAGTTCCTTTACATTCAGCATGTTCCTACGAAGCCGAGTCGCTATACATGTACAAGTGCCTTACTATATCTATCAAGAGACATCTTTTATTTGTTTCCTGCTTATTTAAGCGATCTCTAACCATTATTTATATCTTACTTACTTGTTCCGATGGGCACACAGATCAATTATGATTCATAGCCAACATTAGATGAATCGTGAAGCTGATTTTATCGCTGGCTCCTACTTTTCCGATTCCTGTACAGTTTTCATTAATTCAAAAACTTCAAAAATATTAAAAACTAGTGTATCGGGTAGAAACCCAATGCGGGTATATTCACACCGTACCATCAAAAGTCTTATGGATAGACCAAGATTTGCTCAGCATAAGTTTGAACGGTGGGCATGAAGTAAGGCCGAGACCCATATCGACACAGTTCAAAAGTTATACCTAATTTATGTTATAATTATGTCAGCTACAAAAAACACTTAGTTTGAAGTTTGTCACCCTCGGGAACACTATGAACCAGTATAGCTGATTTTGGTCCAAATATCGGCCATACTTCACACTTATTTGAACCACATTTTCTAGTAAATGTTAAAATATTATTAAAATGGAATTAATCTTGAATTATGTCGCTATTTGGTCAAGTGTTTTAAGATAAAGAATTTGTTTTTTGGTTTCCACAGTGAAGAGTATGTACAAAATTCAGATGGGGTAGTCGAAATTTTAGATTTCGATTTTTTTAAGCTATGCATTACAAAAAGTAATATTTGTATGTGATTTATGTCAGAATTATGTCAATTCAAATAAAACATCCAAGAAATTTTTTTGACAAAAGTACACCAAAGAAAATCAATTTTCAATTTTGGACTAGGGGCGACCCTAGTCAAAATCAATTTTGTCACTTTTTTCTTCGAGGGTTTATCCAAATGGATTGAAACTTTGCATAAATATTCTAGTGTTAAAAAAATACAAATTTGCTGTAATTGGATTTATACTCGAAGAAAAAAAGTGAAAAACTAGATTTTGACTAGACCTGTCCCAAGTTCATAATTTAAAATGTATTTTCTACTTGGTTCTTTGCTCAAAAAAATTTTAAGATGTTTTATTTGTATTTGTTTTGAGCACTAGAATATTTATGCAAAGTTTCAATCCATTTGGATAAACCCTCGAAGAAAAAAGTGACAAAATTGATTTTGACTAGGGTCGCCCCTAGTCCAAAATTGAAAATGTATTTCCCACTTGGTTCTTTGCTCAAAAAATTTTAGGATGTTCTATTTGTATTGTTTTGAGCACTAGAATATTTATGCAAAGTTTCAATCCATTTGAATAAACCCTCGAAGAAAAAAGTGACAAAATTGATTTTGACTAGGGTCGCCCCTAGTCTAAAATTGAAAATGTATTTCATACTTGATCTTTGCTCAAAAAAATTTTAGGATGTTCTATTTGTATTTGTTTTGAGCACTAGAATATTTATGCAAAGTTTCAATTCATTTGGATAAAGCCTCGAAGAAAAAAGTGACAAAATTGATTTTGACTAGGGTCGCCCCTAGTCCAAAATTGAAAATGTATTTCATACTTGATCTTTGCTCAAAAAAATTTTAGGATGTTCTATTTGTATTTGTTTTGAGCACTAGAATATTTATGCAAAGTTTCAATCCATTTGGATAAACCCTCGAAGAAAAAAGTGACAAAATTGATTTTGACTAGGGTCACCCCTAGTCCAAAATTGAAAATGTATTTCCCACTTGGTTCTTTGCTCAAAAAAATTTTAAGATGTTTTATTTGTATTTGTTTTAAGAACTAGAATATTTATGCAAAGTTTCAATCCATTTGAATAAACCCTCGAAGAAAAAAGTGACAAAATTGATTTTGACTAGGGTCACCCCTAGTCCAAAATTGAAAATGTATTATTATGTATTATTTGTATTTGTTTTGAGCACTAAAATATTTATGCAAAGTTTCAATCCATTTGAATAAACCCTCGAAGAAAAAAGTGACAAAATTGATTTTGACTAGGGTCACCCCTAGTCCAAAATTGAAAATGTGTTTCCTACTTGGTTCTTTGCTCAAAAAAATTTTAAGATGTTTTATTTGTATTTGTTTTAAGCACTAGAATATTTATGCAAAGTTTCAATCCATTTGAATAAACCCTCTTGAAAACTTAACCTCTTTTTATATTAAATATCATTTATTCTATCTTAATAATAAGAACTCACCTAGTTATACCTTATTAAATACTAATTTTAATCAAAGTTGTCTGAAAATTATGTTTAATTTAAGTATGTATTTGCATCTCTTTCTGGATCAACTGATGCAAAAAATGACGCAAAAAAATTCAAATAAAATAAATACGTTAAATCTTTAATATGTCAATATTATTTTCTATTTTAGCATTAACTTGACTGATTCACAATATTATCGCATTTTAAAACAATTTTAACTCAAAAACACTCAAAACAATTAATTTTAATGACACATTCAGCATGATATCTAATTAATAGTAATTGTTACGTGCTCAAACATTAAATAATCAACTTGAATCCTTATCAAGTCATAATAAAATCAACTTTACTGCCCTTTGTTTATCAATAGAAAGAA